GTGGACCAGCTCCCGAGGGGCAGAGCTTTTCTGGCCTCGGTGTTCAAGTCAGCAGCGAGGGGCAGAGGAAGCCACGCTACTGAGAGAGGACGACCAGACAGTGCACAGCGGTGCAGTGCTGCAGAAATACACAGCCACCCCCCCGGGGGGGGGGCTCGGAAGAGGCGCCCTCAGCAGGCTAGGAGCCTAAAGCTTGGTCTTGCAGGTTTCTGTGGGCTTTTGGGAACCACAGTTCTCATCTTGATCTGCCATAGGTGGAGGTGGCCCCACCAAGGCACGCCTGGCACACTAGGGACCAGAGCACCTTCGCCAGGCCCCGCGGTGCAGTTCTGCAGCCTGGTTGCCCCCTCTGGTGCCCCCAAAACTTGTTTAAACAAGAGGATGCACATTTCCTAACCACACGCTGGCTTCAGGGTCTGACGCTCTAGTTTGGGAAAGTAGAATGTGCTTAGTCTAACTTTTATGGGACAGTCACTTGCACACAGTCCAAAAAAGCACACGAAAGAAAGGAGAAAACCACGCAGAGGCAGCAGATTTGACCTTGCAGTGCCTTCCCTCTTGGCTTTCATTTGCAGGCTCCCCACCAACACCCCCGCTCTTCTGTGAAACTGAAGTAATCTCATAAAGGAGCTATTTTCATAGGGGCTATAAACCTGCATTTAAGTTTTTACAAGGGCCCAAAGAGGACTTCAGTCATCAGCATGCACAAGTGTAAGCTGGGACCAAAAACACAGCCAAAAGAAAAAAAGAGTCGAAGATGCGTGGACCCAGAACGCTGAGGGCACAAACAAGGGCCACACGGGGAGGCAGGCCAGGGAAGGCAGCGTCCACAGCTGGCTGCGGATCACCACCGCCCGAGTGAGCCCGTTCCCCACTTCCCAATACAGACACTCTCCGCCATAACAAGGGTGGCGCTCTCGAAGGGTGAGGGTGTTCTGAAGCTAAGGCAGAAGACAGGAAGAGGAGGAAGAGAAGGGCCGGGGGGGGGGAGAAAAGAGAAAAGGAAGGAGAGAAGAGAGAGGCACAATGGATGGAGGGAAGGGAAGGGAAGGGGAGAAAGGAAACGCACACCGTAGAACCAGGGCTCAGAGCTCAGGGGGGCTTGGGCATCCGTCAGCGTGGCAGTGAAACCTTGGGGTGTGCATCTTCTGGTGGCTCCCCACCTTTACATGCGCTCGCTCCACGTGTTAGTTTGGGGGACACCTTTATTTACTGGAAGCCTTCCCATGTCTACGTGGTACCAGCCTCCTGGGTGGGCACTGCTTTAGATTCGTAAGGCTCCGGTTACTTTTGGGTTTTTAATAAAGAAGCTTTCTGGTTCATTCGCAAAGCAAAAAGTGGCACAGGAGGGCTCAGAAAGTGAGGGCTCTCTCCAGCCTACCTTTACCCTGTGCCCAGGCAGACCCACAGCCCCACCTTGGCTTGGGAAATCGTCTTCTGGAATTGACCAGTTTGAGGACAGTAATTCATTTGCAAGCATGTTTAAAGTAATAAATTCATTTCCACTGGGGGAGACAGATGAATTTATAGTCCAATTTATAGCACAGACTGATTTTTCTCTTTAGCTTACGCAAAGTCCCGGCGCTCCGGCCTGGCTCTGCCCTGTGACCCCTGCTTGTCGGTGCCAACATGGGCGTGCATACCCTCGGGTGATCCATGCTTTAGACAGGAGGGTGCTTTTAGCAACATTGAAGTTGATAACGACCCAGGAATCAAATTCGCATAAGGTCAGAGCTGCTGGGACCTCAGGGCCCGCCAGTGACTCCTTCCATCTCCTTGCACTCCAAAGGCTGTGAAGTTGGGGGAAAACCAGGGCGTCATGGAAGCAAACGTGGTTTCTGAACTCCCGGATAAGGTCATAGATTTAAAAAGTAGTGCTTGCAGACAATTTGGGTTTTGGGAGGTCACTATGCTCTAAAATTAGTAAAGTGCTCAGGAAGAGAGAACATAGGTTGGCTAAACTGCTTCAGTCCCATTTTCTCTCTTTTAAAATTTTTTTACATAAAACAACATTCTATTGTGCTCATCTAACTAGGCTGCTCGTCAAAGGCACCATGTGCAGAAACATTTTAATAGTTTCTAGAATCAAACAATGCAACCGAACATGTTCAAACCACTTCAAGTTGATCTTCCATAATCACCTAGCAGTGACCATGAGGGACCCTGTGATATTTTTCTTTAACTTCAATTTCCTTATTCCCGTTTTTGATCCTGATCTGTGCTTGCTCAAGCAGCGTTAACACATCCGTAAAAATGTCCTCATTTGGGACAGCAAAATGCCGCGAGGATCTGGGCCTTATTTGGGTCATCTTTTAACTGGGTGATTCTCCTATGAGCTCTGGACATTTAACAGGTAGGCACCTGTCACCTGCAGCTCCGGGGCTCTTGATTCCTTCTCCGAGTGGGTTGGAAAAGCTTTGTGTCATGGACGATCATTTGAAAGGGGCAGGCTAAAAGGCACTGGTCCTTCCAGGGTACGGCTGGCCCTCCCTGAACCCCAGACAGCTCCAGCCCTACTGTGTCTTTCAGGCAGCACTTCTGATAGTGACAGATGAGTCTGTCCCTTCTAGCCCTGACTTCTATACGGTTAATAAGAAAACACTGCTGTGAGATTTAAACAACGTTATGTCTGGTACGGGCAGAGCACCATCCATGGCTCATTGGGCGCCCAGCTTAAATCCAGCCAGGAGGAGTGGAACGGAACTGGGCACCCCATCTTCGCTTTCTCACTGCAGTTCCCAAGTCTTTCAGATTCCCGATTCCAGCCTCCTTCGTTAGGCATGAACAAAGCGGGAGACGGCAGCCCCAGGGCAAGCTGCTTCTCTGGCATTCTCTGTCCTTGGCGCACCCCTGGCTGAGCCTGCCCTGCCTGCCTCGAGCTTCCCTCCTCTGTGCTGCCTCTCCCTTCTTTTTCAGCACACAGCAGACCGACACACTCCCTTGGGGCTGAAAGCTGTGTCTGGTGAGGTGCAGTGCTTTCTTTATGAGGCACAACTACAAAAATGCTCGCATCTGGCAGTCGAGGCCCGGGTGTCCCTGGACGCCATGCCCATACGGCAGCAACTGAGTTACTCAGGGCTGTGCAGAGTGGAGACACAGGGTCTTCCATCAGGGCAGGCTGAACGCATCACTGAGATCACGAACGGCTTTAACTGGAAAGGCTCTTGGCAGGGAAAAGCAAGATTAGGTGCTTGGGTTCTAAGTAGAACAGCAAAAAATGAAATAATAGCTGGAGGGAAGGGGTGGCACTAGGAGCAGGGAAGTGAGGAGCTTGGCAGAGTGTAGAGGGCGGCAGAAAGCACGGCCCAGGGTTTAACCCATCTGCTGCCAGACCCCAGGCTCCCTATAGATCCTGGGTTGAGAAATGGGACAATGTGTAGCCTTCTAAATGCACCGAGTTTGACACAGCCATCTACACACACAAGGACCCTCCCGGGACCCGAACAGCAATATCCCCATTGCTGTTGGGCTGTACTGTGAACGAGGCTGTAAAAATGTCTTTTTGATGTCTTAATGATAAACTCTCCTAAGTGGAATTCAACGTGGCCCACTTTATACTGAATGCCTGATTGTACTGGGCAGTGTTATTTCTCAGTGCTTTTTAAAATCTCGCTGGTGGCTCTCCCTGTCCTCCTCGCTTGGGAACATTCTTTCTCCCTTTTGAAGGCTTTCTTTTGTGTGCAGAGCACTTTTGGTTCTTTTACAGCTGCTGCTCTATGTGTTGACCTCCTACACTAAACCTGGAGCCCAGCAAGCTCCGTCTGCCCATCTTATACCAGGCACTGGGCATGATGTGGAGGACATAGGAATCACTCAGATAACTTCTATAAAACTGAAGGACAGCTGGTCGACTTGATTTAGAAAGAACATTTCAACAAGACTGATGTATCAGAATTACTGTGCGGTGGGAGATTTAAACAAAAGGGCTGTTAATGTGCAGCACACTTCAAATATTTTGATTTTTTTTTTTTTTTTTTTGGCAAAGTGAGAGCCCCATCAGGAATGGTTCAGATAAGAGAGGACAGGCAGGAGCCTCACCATGTTCCGCTGCTCTCTCTGGATTATGGCCAAGGAAAGAATGGGCAGAGAGGCCAATGTTTGCTGGGTATAAGTGAGGTCTGGGGATGTGGTAGACACATTCAGAGAGGAGTGCCTTAAGGTTGTACAACGTGACTTCCCACAGCACCGTCTTATCTATGCACTTTACCAAAAAGATGCCTCGGTCAATACCCTGATGGGGCTTCGTGCAGAGGCCCATTCCTGTAACCCAGCACTCTGGGAGGCTGAGGCAGGAGGACTGCAAGTTAGAGTCCTGGTTGGGCAATTTAGCAATACCCTGTCTCAAAATAAAAAATCAAAAAGGCTGGGGTGTAGTTCAGTGGTAGGCCACTCCGCAGTACTGCCCAAACTGCGCTTTATATTTGAAAGCACTTCTGTCCTGATACGTAGAGCATGGGCCTGAAGGACGCCGGCCAGCATGGCAAGCAGCCTGCCACAGAGTGGCAGAGTCAGCCCGGAGAGGAGTCACGGCTGACAGCGGCCCTCCCCACCTGCTGCTACTGTCTTTCACGGCGCAGGTCCTCCGCGGGGCTTTGGCTCCCACTTCTAACCTGGGAAACCTGCCTTTGGGCCCACCGTGCTTTCCCTGTACCGGGAGGCCTTGATTTCTGTTTCCAGGCAATAAAATAATTCTCACTGCCAGAGAAAATCTGATAGCTCTTTTCAAAGAAAGCCATCATTGGAGGCTTTGCTGGAACCACCGAAAATTAAACACAGTGGGTTACAAACCGCTGAGAAATTAATGTTCTTTGTGTGCCAGTGGCTGGGGCTTAGGGAACTGTGAGGAACCCACTCTCGCTTGCTTCTGATGCCCAAGGGGGGATGTGGGCATTGCTTCGCCCCAGGGCTCCGAGTGTCACTGAGGAACTTGCCGGATCAGGCAGCTGTGGGACCAGCGTCAGAGGAGACAGGGCCCCTGGGGTGCGCCCGGCCTTGCCTACCTCTCAGCCTCTTGAGTCTCTGTTCCCGCCGCCGCCGCCGCACCACCAGCAGGAGCACGAAGAGCAGCAGCAGACCCACCAGGATGCAGGAGATGGTCACCAGCATCTTGAGGCCCTCGTTGGTCGCCAGCCCCTCGTCGCTTTGGACGACTGACTTAATGAGTGGAGGAATTGTACCTGTAAGCAGGGCCAAGGGTTAGATGGTGTCGATGGAGGCGGTGTGGTGGGTTTTAGGGATGGACAGGTGATGAGGGTCACGCGTGTGATGCCAGGGCGACGGCGGAGATGGGATGGGAGGGGTCTTCCTAGCTCCTCGGTAGCTGACTTGTGCCTCCTCCCCTGCCTAGACCTCTGCGCTACAGCTTTGCAGAAGATGTCCTTTGTGCCCTACCATGGGGTGCAGGCCCCTGACAGCACAGCACCACGCTCATTACCTGGAAGTAAGTGTTTCTCCACTGTCACAATGGCTAGAGGTTATTTGAAAAACTGTACATCAAAGGAGGAACAATAGATTTAGCAAATGAACAGGAAATGGTCTGAGGGGAGGCTGCCCCAGACACCCTGGCTTTTAAAGAAGTTTAAACTTCTTGGTGTTAAGTTATTCATTTGCCCGCCTTTCTTTCTTTCTTTTCTTTCTTCCTTCCTTCCTTCCTTCCCTCTTTCTCTCTTTCTTTTGTTCATTCCTGGCATAGAATTCAGGACCTTGAGCTTTCAAGGCAGGCGGCAGCACCACTGAGCTAAATCCCCGGCCTTTCATTTGCTTTTCGTGGCAGGAGTAAGACCAAGTCTACTTTAAAACTCCCATTTTGGGGGTATAAGAGCTACAGACAGCTTTTCAAAAGGGGACCCATCTAGGTCTTTAAAGCTGCTACTTATTGTTAAACTGTGCTATGTGATTCAGATGGTTTGGAATTACAAGGAAAAACACTGAAGTACAATGAACTCTGAGCTGTTTTAAGCTGCTTTTTACCTGGGGCTGAACACAAGGGGCACCGGGAAGTGAGCAGGCATCTGCTCTTCCGGGGCATGGATCTTGCCATCCCTGGTTATGTAAGGAGCTCCAGCCCTCTGCCTTCCCATGTAAAACAGGTGCCCAAAAGTCAGTGCTTAGGGAAAATAATGCAAAAGCAGTAAATCTCCCCCGAGCAGAAATGGCCTTTATGCTGCGTTCAGTAAGCAGAGCAGGAGTAATAGACTCTCTGGCCTTCTAAGATCTTTGCTAAAGCAAGAAGAGTGCTCTTCCAACTTCACGGCAGTTTTGGCTGAAAACCCAAGCCTCTAAATGCTCCAAAAGCAGGTTAGAGGCAGGCACAGGGAGGCAGGAGGCTGCATCTGTCTGCAAAGCTAGGGCGAGACAAGGACAGACAGGAACATTTGGTGCAGGCATGGCACAAGAAAAAGTCGGAGAAGGAAATGGAAAAGTTGGAAACCTGTCTGGTCTGAACATAAGGCTAATTATCAATGTTTGTTTTTCCCAAAGTGAAAAAAAAATGCTTCAGGCAGATTGTGACAAAAGAGATTACAGCTATATATCTGCAAGATTGGTTCCCAGAAATCTGCCATCTTATTCAAGGAAAAGAAATATGCACTCGTATCGTGGTGGAATGAAATTATTGAGGATTTCAGAAAATTAATGTAGCTCAGAGGATGCCTTTGTCATCTGTGGTCCTGGATGACGTAGAGCTATAGTCTGTACATGACATATTCAGAAGACACATTTACAGCCTGCCAAGCACTTTGTAAGTCAGTGTTGTGGGTTCAATTCTGCTCGAGTGGCTCCTAATTCAGGGACCAGCTGCAAGTGCATGTCCAGCGTGTGTGTTGGGCCCATACCCTGCCTGGCTCTGCATGTCACATGGAGCCACTGTGCACCTGAGTGTGAGTCACTGATCCATGACCTGCAGCGAGGTGGCCCTGGCCTCCAGGTGTGTGGTGAGCCCCTCAGGCCAAGGGTGGGTGAGTGCAGTGGCTGGTGACTCTTCCACTCAGGCTCAGGGAAGGTTGCTGTCCCGCAGCAGTGCTCTGTGACCAGGACGCCTTGAAAGGCAGCGGATGGGAGCTGAGATTAGGAGATCAGAGGAGGGCCTGGAGGAGGGAGGCTGCTGCTGGGCTGTCCCTGAGCCTAGGGCAGAGCTGGTTATAGGGCTGAGCCCCAGGGTGGCGAGGTGAGCCCAGACCCTTTCCAGGAATGCTGGAGAGCCGTGGCTTTGCATGTGCCGGGCTCAGACTTGGACTCAGGGAAGCAGGGTCTCCTCGGGCAGGATGCAGTGGGAGGGCTGGGTGGTGCAGCCTGGGGTCGGGGTCCCAGGAGCCAGCCGTGCTGAGGCAGTGGACAGAGGCTGTGTGGGGCTGGGCTGTGGCTGCTCGCACTCTGCCAACTGCTGGGGCTTTGCCTTGAGGTGAGAACCCTCCTCCTGTGGCTGATCCCAGGGAGCCACTGCACGTCTCCGAAGCCAGCACTGTTGCTGGGGATGCCCTAAAGGTCCCTGCTGATGCCAAGGACACACACTTCCCTCTGCACTAGGCTGGGCGTTTTCTCAGATATCGATAAATGGCCCTTAACACTAGAAAAAGGGCAAGAGTTTGGATAATTTGTTTTTGGCCAAGAAGATGTTAAGAGATACCGGGGCTGGGGATTTAGCTCAGTGGTTCTGGCGCCTGCCTTGCAAGCGCAAGGTCTCAAGTTCAATCCCCAGTACCAAAAAAAAAAAAAAAAAAAGAGATACCTCATCTAGTATGCTGCCTGTGTGTGCATGGTGTGTGTGTGCACAACATATGTGTGCATGGCATGTGTGCAGGTGTGTGTGCATGATGTGTGTGCACAGCATTTGCATGTGTGCAGGCATGTGCTGACACCCTTATTCTACTCCCTTCAGTACCCCTGCTTCCGCTAGGACACTTGCACAGCCCCTTTGTCATGTGGGTTGGGATGGGGTGGTGGGAGGGGTGGAGACACAAGAGCAAGGTTAGCGCGCGGCTGCCCCTGCAGGGACACACAGGGCGGATTCCTCCAGTCCCAAGCACAGCCGCTCATGCACCGGGCTCCCGCAATGCGTGTCATCACCACCTGGGCAGATGGACTGGGGAGCCACAGAGAGCCGCAGAAGGGCCCCACCCCAGCGGCTCTGCGGGCACAGGGTGGCAGGGATGGGCACACGCGACACCCCCGAGACACACAGCTGGGCCCGGAGCTTACTGCCATCGTAGTTGAGCGTGGCGAAGTTGGCCTGCTTCTCGGCACAGCCTGCGCTGTTGCACACGCGCATCTGCAGCTCGTACCAGGTGGCTTCCTGCAGGTCGTACAGGATGTAGGACTTGGACAGCGAGGTGCGCTGGGCGGTGGTCCAGACCGCGGTCCCGAAGGGCCTGTACTCGAGCGTGAAGGAGGTGATGGGGCAGCCGCCATCGTTCCAGCCGATCAGGTTGAGCCGCACGCGGGTGCTGTTGACGCTGGCGAAGAGCTCCTGCTCTTTGGAGAACTGGGGCTCTGTGAGAGGGCCTGGAGGTGAGCGCGGGTGCGGGGAGCGGCTGCACCCCACACCCCTCCACCCCACGCTTCTTGTGCTGCCCTTGAGCTGCTCGCTCCGTCCAGCCCAGGATCTCAGACCAAGCCAGGGGCACGGGTCACTTGCGACCATCCACACTTAATCAAGGTCTTGGGGGCCAGCAGGTGTTTTGCACCCCACGGACCTCAGCGTGGGAAGGGGAGGGCCTTGTCCGGGCACCCCAGAGCTCCCTAGGAAGGTGCTATGCGGTCTGTTAGCGGTTCACACGCAGCAGTGTGCCGGGCGTGCTGTGTCCAACCCACGGTTGGGGGGTCACTCAAAAGCAGACAGCGTTGGGCTTGGGGACGAGGAGCATGGGTCCCCCACTGTCCAGTCACCTGGGGCCCTGGACTGACTGGCTACAAGCTGCACAAATCATCCCTTGTCACATGAACACAGTCCCCCGCCCAACGGTCATCGCTTGTCCTCTTGTCACCTGTGTCCACCCCAGCCCAGACAGTACTTGGGGAGACCTGCAAAGCCCTCCTAACTGCACCCACATGGGCCTCACCCCTGCATCTTTCTGGTTCAGTGCTCCCGAGTGCCACTTCCCAGGGACCCGGCTCCGACATTACACTGGACTTCAGAAGCCCAACTCACACGGAAAAGCTCACAGTGCCGCCCAGTCCGGTACTGCTGAGAAGCAGGACCAGGAGACAACGCGGGGTTTCTACATGGATCGGGAACAGGGCTGGTGAGGGACAAGCTGACCCCAAAACAGGACAAACCCCACATTTCATGGCACTTTCACTGGGATCAACGCCCTTGATTTCTACTTGACACCCTTCTCTTGAACTGGAACTGAAAGCATGAGCTGAGGAAACCAGGCTGCTCTGCAATCAGCTGACTCTTCCGCTGCGACACTGCTGAGCCCATTTTGGGAACAACAAAATTCAAATCCACAAGCAGACCCACAGGTAGATGCCAGGGGGACTTTCAGGCTCCAGCCTGCACTTCCCTCTGGAAGCCAGACAGATCTGGAGATGACCGAAAGCATACGTACCTTTCCCCAACGTCTTTGCTTCGATGATTTCACTGATGCGCCCTGGCCCTACTCCGTTTTGGGCGGTCAGGGTGAACTTGTACCAGGTCCCACATTTCAGGTTCTCCAAGCGGTAAGAGCGTTCGCTGGGGCTGATGGGAAAACTCCCCCACTGCTCGCTGTTGTCCTCGGAGTACTGCAGTATGTACCCTTGGGAAACAGGGAGAGTCCGGTGAGTGCTGCTCCCGTCCACGGAGACGCTGGGGTCGTGAACAGGCTGAGGCTTCTCAGTCTGGGCATCTTGGAAGAGAGCGTTCCAACCCTGGCTGACCCTGGAGCCCTGCCCGCCTGGGAGGAGTGCCCTGGGGTTGATGTGTGAGGTTCGCACCCGACAGTGGCAATGTGGCGGCCCGGCTGCAGGACAGGTGACGACAGGGCCCCTCCCACTCCCCTCTAAGGCCATACTGGGCAGCGGGGAATAAACACTAAGTTGCTAAAAATCTGCCCCTTGGAGTTTGTGCCTGAGTCCTTGGGCAGAGGCAGAGGCTGACGCGGAGGTATTTGAGATCATCAAAGCTCTGGAACGGGGCTGTGCTGTCTGTGGGAAGGCAAATGGACACAGGGGCCTCCACCTCCCCTCTGGCCAAGCTCTCCTGCCCCAGGGGACTGGCTCCCTGTCCTGAAGCCATTCCAACACTCCCGTGGCTTCTCTTTAGTTTGGAAAATTCCCGCAACCATTCATTTCTCCAGATGTCCACTCTTCTCTCAGCTTCTGCAACCACGAACAACAATTGCCCATTTCTTGGTGTTGACCCAAGGCTTTTGCTTGTGTGACTTCACACAACCCCATGAAATAATGTCCCCTTTCCCAGGACTGATGGAGACGCGGAGACCCAGAGAGGGTGCTGCGTCCCAGGTCCCCTGACCTCGGCCCGCCTGCCTGGTCCTACGTTCACCGGACCCTTCTTTCTCACTGCCTGCCTTACCGATGTTCCCTGTGATCACATTTCTAGGGGCAGATGTGTCCTCCCTGCTCTGCTCCTGTTTCTCCTAAATATTCACCACCATGCAGCCCAGGACAAGGTCACTGAGCACTTGGTGTCCTGGCGCCTCAGCCCTGCCGGCAGCACCTGTGTTTCCCAGAGTGTTGGCCTGGAGACCCCTCTCGCTGACTCCTGCTGTGTCCAGCCAGTGTCCTCCCTCCTCCCTCTGGCTCTGCAGCCCTCCTTCCTGGGCCCCATTTCCTCTCCCTGTGCTCTGGCTCTGACCTCCCCCAATGCCTGTGGCCTAGGGCGTCCCAGCCTCCACTCCAGCCAGCTGCTCGTCCAGGGGTTGGGGTCCCCCCCGCCGATGGCTTGGTCCCCTCTGTGTTTCGGTGATGCCAGCTCCCTGTGTCTCAGGAACACTTCATCAGTGACACTAACCTGTGCTAACACTCTGTTCTCTCTCAGGCTTACTGAATCCAAAGTTTATTTTTTACATTTTGCAGTGCTGGGGATTGAAACCGGGGCCTTCACACTGAGCTGTATCCTAGCCCTTTACACATTTTAAAATTTTGAGACAAGTTCTTGTTAAGTTGCTATGTTGCCCAGGCTGGGCTGGAACTCGCAGTCCTCCTGCCTCCGCTGCCCAGAGTGCTGGCATTAGAGGTGTGTGGCACCAGACTCAGCTAAAGTTTGTTTCTTTGGAGCCTGCAGCCTAGGCCCCTTGAGCCCCTCTTCTGCACGGGGGTCCCAGGCCAGCCCAGAGCCCAGGGCGGACCGAGACCCCAGGGAGCCCCGCCCTTCCTCCGGGAGCCACGCCCACCCACCGCTCCGACTCCGAAGCTGGACACCTTTGACCTGCTCCTGTTCCTGGCGCCCAGCATCTCGGAGGAAGGCCATTGAGTTCTAATAACTGTGACCACTACAGTTTGCACTCCTCTGCAGCTGGGTCCTCGCCGCCGCCGCTGGGCGCAGGCTTTGTTCATCTCTAGGGACTCCCCGCGCCCTGCACACAGCAGCGGCTGCAGACCCACGCTCCTCACACCCGCCGCACAGCCTCCCCCTTCATCATCCAGCTATTTTTGAAAAGTAACCTCACCTTTTTCTTTCCCACAGAAAGGAGAAGAAAGAGGGAGGAAGCTCCTCCCTGGAGCTGCTCCAGTGGAGGGTGCTGAGTGCTATCTCGGGATCCGGGAGGGAAAAGCCAACAGCCCAACCTGTGCTAGGTGTGCGCTGCTCCTAGCAGGGCACAGCCGCCGAGCCGAGCGCAGAGCCGGGAGAAAGGGGCCAGCAGGCCTGCAGCGCCTTGGCTTCCCTGAACCGCCCGGTCTGGTCTTCCGGGTGTCTCCCCACCCTTCCCCGCTGCCTTCCAGGCCGAAGCCCAGGCCTCGCTCTCTGGCTCTAGGGCCACTTCCGTGACTCCGCCCCTCCTTCCACATGTCTTCGGCCGCCTCTCCAGACACCTGCCCTTCCCTCCAGATGGCTCACACAACCCTCTCAACTTCCTTGTGCGGGGATTATCTCGCTAGCTCATCTCTCCAGGATAGGCCTGGCTTTCACTTTCTGTTATGTGCCAATAGCGAAGGCCTCATGCAAATAAGTTGTTTCCCATCTAAACTCTATGCCCTTTGTCTCTTAGGACTTTAAGTCAGCACAGTAACCATGGTTACTGAAAAGAATGATACAGTGCTGATAAACCAAAGCTACAGCAACCAGAATCTCAGGGGAAGGACTACAGAATTTCCCCTTCCCTCGTTTTCATGTTAATATTTCACTCAGTCTAGATGCTCCAGATAATCGTGGGGAAGAGACTCTTTGGACAAATGATTTGAGTTTCAACAAATATGAGAGAAAAATAAATACTATTTCTTGCTTAAGTATTGGGAGAACTAACGATAGGATGCATTTTGGGGGTGAATAAACCAACGCTTATCAGGTATTTGACGAAGATGTGGCACTTGTGGCCCATGAGTACTGCCGAAGCAGACACTGGGGACAGCTGCACGCCGTTACCTCTGATGGAGCTGCCTCCGTTGTCCCCGGGGAGCCAGGACAGAGTGATGGAGGATGATGTGGTTTTAGATACAGTAAGCCGGGGCTGATCTGGTGGAACTAGATGGGAAACAGTTTTTAGAAAACAAGAATTAGTTTTTCACATCTTTAATCCTCTGTAACAGTCATTTACCGAATCATTTTTAACAGCCATTTATTAAAGAAGTGTTTTAGGTTGCCAAAATATGCAATTCACTTCTGTCAAAATGTCTATTTCCTTGATATCCTGGGCCAAAGAGATAGAGCAGAGTGAATCTATTATTTAAAGAAAATCCAACCCCAGTTCTACTTGGATTTTTTATCTAGCTCATTCCCCCTCATTCCTTGAATTTCTGAGTAGCTCATCACTAATTGAAATCTTTAAACTTCCTGAGGATGTAGGCTTTATTTTACTCTGAATTTCAGCCTTGAGAGTCAAGTGAAAAAGATAAATGATGGCCTGAGACCACACACACACAAACACACACTCCACTCTGAAATTCACAGATGTGCCATTGCTTTGTGGCACATGAAGTGAGCATTCACGCTGGGCTTAAAGGATATCTACTGCTAAACAATGGGCCTTTTTATAATTTTGGACTGGCTGTGAGGAAAGAAATACCAAAGAAATTCATAAGCAGGCTCTCCAAGATACAGAAAGCATCACATAAAACATCCTTCTCACGTCTTACAAGAGAAGCCTGATATATCAACCCAAAGGCCTGAAAAATTGGCCCTTGTCTTTTGAATCTTAATATAGTGTTATCTTACAAAATGCCCCTGAATTCTCCTGGCTCAATTAACTTGAAATTCTATTTTGCAGAATTTTAAAAAATATATAGCCCTTCGCCTCCCACTTTGATCCCACTGAGGGCAGTATTGATTTAATTTGATTTGCTGAATTATTAAAGTGACAAACCCCCAATCCAAGGCAGCATGTGCTTTGATCCTTCCTCTAATAAAATACCACCAGGCACCTAAATCTAAACGCAATCAGTAGCTGTTTGCACACAATTTTAATATCTTCGGAAATCGTGCACATTTTGTAGATAGCAAGAAAAATTAAACATCTTGCATTAAAATACACAATTGAATATTATGGCAATATACTTAGAGTTGCAATTAGTATCCTTTTGACATAGATGGCTCATAAAACCGAGTTAATTGGCAGACATAAAAGACAAGCATTCCGGCTTACTTTTCATTTGTGTTTTCTAGGTTGGACACACATATGCAAACAGTGTAATTAGTGGAAGTTATTAAGGACTTTTTAGAGCTATTCGCATAAAGAAAGGCATTTTATATGCAAAAATGTATTGCGTCCCAGCATTATCTCTGGGACTTTGAACGCTGTTTATTTTCTTTTATGTGTTTAATTGTATTTTCCAATTGAACACATATTTTTTGTAATATGAAAATAGCAATTCGCATTTTATAAAGGCTGCTTTTTAAATTTGTGAAGTTTTACTCTAGCATGCACACACAGGACATCCTTCAGGGGAGCTGTGCATTTCGCACCTTGTACTTGCAAATTTAAAATAATCTCGTCTGAGCCCCAGTTGTTGTTGGCGACGCAGCTGTAGTAGCCGGAGTCCTCCGCCTTCACCGTGCGGATGATGAAGCTGCCGTTGCTGAAGATGCCCCTGCGCCCATCAATCGTCACCAGGCTGGGCGTCCCGTTACTGCCTCACAGGAAGAAAGATGCACAGATTAAAGAAATTACAACCCACATTGGTTCAGGTTGGGGAGAAACATCGAGACTTCCTCTGAAGCACGCAGCGCACTCGCAAGCGTAATGTCTCCTGCATCATGAAGGAAGTACTCTAAGGCAGTGTGGGACACACCGCCGGGGGTGAGTGGAGTTCTCTCTGCCAGCTGCTCCCCGAAGGCTAGATCCATGGCGGGCGGGGCTCCTGGCTCGCCCTTGGGCGTCTGGCACGTGCCGGAGACTGTCCTGCCGGGGACCTGCTTTCCTCGACGGCACAGGCTCTGCACATGCCCTCTTGGTGGCCATTCTGGGACTTCCACCCACAGAGCAAATGATGGAGGGCAAACTAAACCTCGAGACGTCTCATGGAGCCGCATAAAATCACACTGGGGATGAACCTGACAGGGTCAATGCAGAGGGCCCAGGCAGCGGGCTTCCTGCAGGGTGGCAGCGTGTCCAGTGGACTGGGGTCATTCCTGCCAGCCTGGCTCTGGGACCTTCAGGATGTCCTCTGCATTCACTGATTGTAAGTGCAATGAGAAAAGTGGTCACTGGTCCTGACCCACTATTTTAATACTTTATACCTCTTAATGGTTTTTATGTGAAAGGAGGCAGGGCTTTGAATCCACTGTACCAAATCTCTACGCTCCCAAGTGACCCCGGACCCTCCGTGAGACCCTAATTCCTTCCCCGCATAGAGACACAGCACTTTCAGCAGACATCATGGGCAGAGCATGGCTCACCCGCTTTCTCCCCTTCTGTCCTGGCTGCTGTTATTTTAATAATGACTACTGAGCGTGGGAAACTGGCCTCCCTCTGAGCAAAGCCCTACGCGTCCCATTCCTTAGGGTTATCTCAGTGCGTGGGAGTCAGGGCTGTGGGGTACTGGGCCCTTTATCTCTGAAGAAAAGGGACGTGTGAGGGCTCACGACAGTTGGGGTTCTATAGCCAGCCAGCCTGAGGAGGCCGAGCCGCCTTCCTCAGAGGTCCTCTGCTGGCTTGGGGCCTTTCCTTGCAACCATGGGCACGAAGTTCAAGGCTCTGGATTTACAGGGGACAGACGTAATTTGCAGCGTGATCAAAATATAAGGTGAATGCTTAAATTTGAAACGTCTCATTACAGTACAAGATACAGTGCCACTAATTCCCCTTGGCACTTTGAACCCTCCCCCACCGTCCTGGCCGCTTCCTGCAGCAGCTCTGGAGCCCTCTTTCCCGAGTATCTGCAGCTGCACTGTCCTGGCTACCTCGATGTCCTGAGTAGCTTCAGAACATTTCCCTTTTGTGATCATTTCGACTCTGGGGAAGAACTGGAAGTCACATGGTGCCAGCTTGGTGACTAAGGTGGATGAACACAGCGCCATGCTTTTATGAGCTGCCTTTCTGCTGGATGGCGCTTGGCAGCAGCAGTCACTGTATTTTTGATCAAGCCTCTTAAATCCATTCAGGAAAGAGGACTCCAGAGCTGCTTCAAAAAGTGGCCAGGACGATGGGATGAGTGTGTTCAAAGTGGGAGGAGGATTCTGTGGGGGATCCGTGGGAATAATACATATTTTAATTTAAATATCACTGTGTATTTCCATTGCCACCTGTGGTTCAGTCCCTTTCGGTGCCAGTGCCAGGATCGCCAGCCCATCTCAGAGGCCTTGCTAGCCTTCGTCAAACGTCCATCAGAATACATGAACCTGGAGCTGGAGACCACTAGACGCCCCCACAAGCCGCCGACGTTATGCCTGAGGGAGGCCGAAGGGCAGGCGCACGTCGGGTTACTGGTTACCTGTCTTTCATCCACTTCACTGCAGGCGGAGGATCCCCGACAGCTTTACATGGCAGGATGATGTCCTTCATCCACGGGGTGCTGACCGTGCCACTGAAGGCGAGGATCCGAGCGGGAGCTGAACAGCAGAAGAGCAGAGACCCAGTCACCCCAGACTCACGCGCACGGCGCCAGCTGGCCTTCCTGCACACACAGAGCAGTGCCCCAGATGGGGAGGGAGGGAGGCCCACCACCCACCCAGCTGCCAGCGCCTCTCTGCACCAGGGCTACGAAGAGTTTGCACTGTAAGGCACACAAACACCTGAAAATCCCCATGGTAGCAGTCTTTCTCCTACTGGCTAAAGGTGAGGACTCTAAATTAGGGATTTGGAGTCTCATAAGCAAAGCAACTCCAAGCTGTGTTTTCTATGAGCCCAATTATTTTTCAAAGCACTTTATGAGGCAATTCACCTCAACCCCAGAACTGAGCGTTAAAACATGCTTTTCACGTCAGGGACAACAGACAACACAAAGCATAAAGACCCAGGAGTCAGGAGGAAGCAAACCGGGACAGTTCCCCCACCGGCTGCGCAGTGCCCCTGTCTGTTTCAGCAGTGCGCTTTTCCGGTGCACACAGGAAGGAAAAGGAGCATCTCAGGTGACGTCTCCCGAAGAGCTGCCATTTGCTTGGGACAGTGACTCAGGTGCCCAAACCAGAGCTCCTTCCAGGGCGGCTGGCTCATGTCCGGGCCTGGAAGACGGAGACTGGAGAGCTCCATGGGCCTGGCTGAGAAGGGGCTTCCTTGGAGGTGGCACCTAGCATCACTGTCTTGGACGGGCCCCGGAGCTGGCATGGGCACCAAGACTCAGCCTTGCAGAGGATGTAACAGCCCCTCGCATCCCTGGACACCACCCCGGGCACACACGGGGGCCAGAGGTCGCTGTCCTTATTATCTTAGCCAGTGTACCCAGGCTGCCATGGGGCTGGGATGCAGAACGGAAGAGGCAGGCGCTTCCGCCAGGGGCCAGCCCAGCTACCTGGGCGGACGGAGACCTCGGGTGCCAGGGAGCCACTTCTGACTCTGGCCCCAGGAAAACAGGGCCAAGTGTCGGACCCTGAACTGTTCTGTTGGACTTGAGGGTTTCACTGGCAACAGAGGGTGCGGAGCGGCTCCCTGGGAAATTCTGGAGTCCTGGGGAATGCAGGGTTCTGGGAACCAAGTCAGCAGAGAGCTGGGGCATTAGCCTGGGTCTTAAGGTCGACCAGAGCCACTCATTTCTGTTCTGAGGCTGTGGGTGAGGGCAGACAAAAAGCAGAGGCAAGAGGCTAAGGACAAAGCCAGGCCTTTCAAGGGACAGGGAATTTTGCAGCAAAATTAGGCTACATGTTTGAAGCAATCTGTCCTGAACATCAGGAGGGACAATCCACCGATCACCGATACTTCTGATTTTAGAGCTTGGCGACCAAGAGATAACTCCCACCCTGGTCTGCAGACTCCACAGATCCTGGGTGGGTCCCGGAATCTGTCTTTCAACAAGCACCCACAGGTGAGTCCAGTGCAAACCCTCATCCACCCGAAGGCTGGACAGCCCTTCGGAACCGTGCTGCTCCTGGGCTGCAGGTGGCTGGGCTCTGTCCTCTGCCTGTGCTGGCCTGCATCCCAGGATGAGGTTCTGCAGGGCTGGCCTCCACAGGAGCAGCGGTCCTGCGCTTCAACCTGAGCCTGGACTGTGGAGCTGCCGCTGGCCACCTCTGCCATCCAACGCCTGCACAGTGCCCTGCACCACCCACTGGATTTGGGGGCAGAAGAACACTGGCTGCCGCCCACCTCCCTGTGCCGCCCCTGCCTGGTCAGGGGCCTGCTCCTCCGTAAATCCCTCCTGCTCCCAAGGTCCCTCCTCTTCTCCAGCTTGGACCCCCACCCCACTGCCCAGCACCCTGGAGGGCATGGGAGATGCTCGCAGGGCCAGGCAACTTCGGCACAGACCTCTTCCTCCTGCCCCGCCCTGGAGCTCTGTGACACACCTTGGAGTGGAGCCCCAGCGCTCCCTGCTTCCAGGCCAGCCGTCCTCTGCTCCCCCGAGGCCCGGTATCCCCCATCCCCCGGCCCGTGCTGTGCCCTCCTCACCCCACTCCAGGTGTTCTCAGGAAGGCAGCCAAGTCCTCCAGCAGTGCCCAAAGCCAGAGGCACCTCCAGCACGGGCTCCCTTCACCTGCCCCGCAGCAGTGGCCTCCTCTGACCACCCCTCCTTTGAGAAACCTCCGCTCTTATTTTTCTCGCTCTGTGGTCTAGGCTGGCCTGAACTCATGGGGCTCGGCCTGCTTTGGCTTCCTGAGTGCTGGGATCACAGGCATTCGCGGCTCTCCCTGGCTCTTAGAAGCAGCCCTGGGCAGCAGCCTCCAGGTCCGGCCTGTCTCTCTGGCATCCCCCTCTCTTTCCCCGTCCTACTCTGTCCCTCCAAGCCTTGGCTCCTCCCAGCAGTCCTCCAGCTCGAAGACGATCTGGCAGTGTCCCAGGCTTGGGGGCATCTGGACGCCAATGTGTAGCATCTCTGTCGCCTGCCTGTTGCGGCCTGAGTGCCAGGATGTACCACTGCGGACACTTCTGGGCAGACTGGTCACCTCCCGGGACATAAGATGTCCGCATAGCCTCATCCCACTCCACTGCTTCCACATGCACCTCTTCCGTAAGCGCCTCCAACCCGCCCCGACCATGCTGGGCTCCGGAAGCTCCTCTTGCTGTCCTTCCCTGTCCTCCTCAGAGCCCACCACGGCCCACGGCCCTGTGTCCACAGGGCGCCCTCCCCTCCTTTCCCTCCTCTGGCCACTGCTTCCTGGATGGCTGCTCCTTTTCCTGACCCAGCTGTCTACAGCCCGTTCCGGATGCAGAGACCGAGTGGTCTCAAGGACACACAGCAACCGTAACAAATGCCCCTTACCCTGGCAGCGACGGGGGACTCCCTCACTGTCTTCACCGTGCATTGCTCTAAGCCTAAAGCTGTTCAAAAAATAGCTTATCGCACTCACACAGGAGGAGGACCATGTGCCTCCTAGGCTCAAATCCTGTTTCTGTTTGAGTAAATCCAAACTCCCTGACACAGTCCCGAGGGCCCAGCAGGAGCAGGCCTGTCCCGGCCTTCCTTCCGGGGTCCTCGGGCCTCCTGTGCCTCAGGCCCCACTGGGGTCCGCTCCTGGGCCTGCAGTGTGCTCCACTCTCCCTGACTGCGGCCCTCCTCACTCGCCTCCTCCTCCTACCACTTTCCTCAGTTCTCCAGCATCTGCACTGCTCCCCCTCGGCGCCCGGGCTGCCGCCCTCTCTGCGTGCTCAGGGCTGTCCTCATGGGGCTCCTGCAGCACTTCCGGCTCAGGACAGTGATGCACAGATTGTGCCACCGTCCCCAGTAAAGTGGGCTCCGGAGTACGGCAGACCGGCTCCCCCTGAGGAGGACACATCCCTCTCCAAGTCCAGACCACGCCCCTCCTGGCCTCGCTGACTCCGACTCCTCCCCCGGCGTGGGACTGGGCCGGGCCACGCCTTCCCTGAGGTCAGGGTCACACAACGAATGGGTGCCTGGTCACACGGACCTCCCAGGACCTTCCACGCGCATGCCCATCGTCGTGGCTGGAAATGAGGCGGAGAGGCCGGGACCCCGCGTCGCCGTGTGGACTGAGCCAGCCGGGAGACACCGGCCACAGGCACCGCACCGGGCGGCTGTGTGGTGCCACCGTGCCGAAGGGCCCTCCCTCCAGCGCCAGGTGCCCAGAACAGGGCCCGACATGCGACACATGCGCAAGGTGACCTGTCCAGTAGCCGGGCCTCTCTCTCCCAGACAGCACTGGCCCCATGGAAGGGCCGCGCCCGCTGCATCTCAGGCCACGCTGCCTGTGCCTAGGCCAGCCCCGCCCCGCTCCCTGCTCCCTGCGGCTCCTTTTGCTCCCTGCGGCAGCCTGGTGACCAGCACTTCCCACGAGGCTCCCTCCCGCCTCAGTGCCACGTGCGCCTGGATGTCAACAGCAAAGAGCGCCACGGGCCACGCCCCGCCGGCGGCTGCCCACCGAGGACTCGCCCAGGGCTCGCCCACGCCGCATCGGGACCGCGCCCCTCCCCTCCCGCCCGCTTGCCGGCTTTCTCAGCCAGGACAGCGAGCACTTCCAGAGGTCAGATCAGAACTCCCGGCGGTCAGGTTTTCTCTTCACGCTCCTAGAGACATAGCAGAAAGAAAGGGCCAAGCCTCTGTCCTCAGAAGTCAAGAGACCTCGCCTGCTGGCCCGGAATTGCGATGTGTGGAGGGTGACTCTCTGTGAGGGCCGACTTAGGGGGACCCCGGAAACACGGGGTGGCAGTGATTGCCAGAAGCAGAGTGAGAATGTTCAGGGTCTACATCAGAGGCTTTTTTGTAGGGCATTGGGTATTGAACCCAGGGCCTTCACACTAAGCTTCATCCCCAGTCCCTTTTAAATTTTTATATTTTGAGAAAGGTTCTCCTTCAGTTGCTAAGTTGCCCAGCCTGGGCTCAAACTTGAGATCCTCCTGTCTCAGCCTCCCAGAGTGCTGTGATTACAGGCACCGCCACGCCCAGTTCTCTATCTGCTTCTTAAATAGCAGTCAACTATCACGATGTGAAGGTAACATATTCTCCTCTAAGAGCTTTTGTCCTCTGGGGACCCCAGCTCTCCACTTAAGGTTTTTGTTCATAGCATTCTGTCAAGAAATAAATAGTTAACGATTTTCTTATATTTTTATGATCTCAAATTCCATAGACCAAAAAATAGACATTTTTTCTTTTTGGTACCGGGGATCGAACTCGGGTCCTTGCGCTTGCACAGCAGGCGGTGAAAGCACTGAGCTAAATCCCTGGCCTGACATTTTTCCTTAAGAAGTATGATTTTGAGGGAGCAGAACTTCCTTGAGAAAAATGCTAAGCAGTGATGTCCACCTACTCAAAGGGTGAGTGAAGGCTGTTTTCCTAATTTTCCCAAAGACACTTGAGTTGTCCTCACGCCTCCGCAGGGTGAGTCCACCTCTCGGGCCCCTGTGTGAGCCGCACAAAAGCCCAAGCCCAGGCCCAGGCCCCAGCACCCCTATTTCTTGGGCTGAATATGGTTCTGCTTTGTTTGATTTTCAGGGCACTGCAGGTTTTGTAGCACAGGACAGAGACTTAACCCAGCTGAATCCCAGTGGGAAATGAAGCCCTTACTCTGGAGGCGCACCTTTAGCTAAGGGCTCTACTGTGATGATTTCACTGCTGTTGCCTCTTCCGGCTGAAGTCACGGCCACCACCCAGACGCTGTACTGGCGATTTCGACTCAGGTTAGGTATTCTGTAGGAAAATGAGTCGGGGGAGGCTTCAAACTCGCTGATCACCTGTGAGAGGAGACACAAATGTTCCCACATTCAAAGAAGCAAGTGACACAAAAGGATTCCTAAAAGGTCGATTAACAGATTACTGATCACAATGACAAAGCCCACACCATCGGGCCCTCCAAAGGCTGGATTTGCAATCTGGGAGGGGACAGTAAGCTCAGGTGACCCCTGGATCAGCTTTAAGAGCCATGGGTGAGTAATTTACCTTTACACCAGGGGACACAGAGCTTCTGCTGTTGGCCAAGATGAAATAACAAGAGTTAGATGATCACTTCCACCCAGAGCAACCAAAGAGCACACAGAGGATATGAAAAGGTGAGTTTAAAGACAATGTGCACTGGGTGATGGATGACAGGGACTTCTAAAAAATGGAAAACAAATGATATCAACCTTATAATTGTAGGGGTCCTGCATTTTTAAGAGGGTTTTAAAGCCATGGCACATGGAGGGGACCCAAAAGGGTCCTAGCAGTCTCAAGTTAAGAAGAAGACAGAGCTGAGGAGAGGAGGTGGGAATTCACAGGGAGAGTACTGGAAATGAGCGTTATACAGAGAGAACTCCAGAAATCTGAAGAGGGTTCTACTTGGGCATTCAGCTGAGCGGATCCTGGCCTGCACTCGTGGAAACATCCTGAAGCCCAGGAAAGAACCACCTGAAAGTATTGGCAGTCGCACTGCTCAGCACTGACACAGGGCTGGGAATAGTGCCTGTTCCTACCAGCCACATTCAACAACATCAACATTCACCATGGACTGGGACAGTGCATGAGGTTCTTACCTCAAAGGGAAGAATAATTAGCTCAAGATCGAGCCCTACGTTAGTCTTGCTTAACAGATTCTAAAATCAAAATTCAGAAAGAACAGGTAACATTAAGCAATTTAACTGCATCCTTGAATGAGGGCCAGAAACATTTTTATTAAAGTATTTATTATGCAAAAAGCTAAAATTCATGATGTTTGATATCTGATAAAAGATTTCCAAGTGTGAACAACTCAGACAATTAATGGATAAACAAAATGTATTGTGTCCATACAATGGAGTGTTCATTAATAGGAAGAAATGAAATTCTGATACATGCTACAATGTGGCTAGAGCTTTAAAACTGTCTAGTAAGTGAACAATGCCAAGCACAAAAGACCAACAATTTATAACTCCTATTGTATCAAAAGTCCAGAGAAGACAAATCCAGAGACAGAAAGTAGACCTGTTGTTGGGGCAGGAGTAGAGAAGGGGAATGTGGGGAGTATTTGATAATAGGCAATGAGTTTATTTGTGGAGTAATGAAAATGTTGTAAGATTAATAGTAAGAGTTGCAAAATTCTGTGACTGTACCAAAAACCATCGGATGTACACTTTAAAGCAAATTCCAGGAATGCTAAAAGGCAGGAAAATATGAATTACAAAAAAGAATTAAATCTATCAAAGTTTTCTTATAATTGACAGAGATACTGATTTATGCAGACAAGTACAAAAAGTTAGTATAACTGTATCACAGCTATATTTTAACTGCATATGTTAATAATGTAACTAGATACATGAAAGATATAAAAAGACCCAAGTCAAACTTGAGTTGAAATTATATTTGAGATTTTTTTTAAAAAACATAGTAGACTAGATTATTGAGAGATTAGACATTTCAGGTTAAAAAAAAAGTGAATTTAAAGATGTACTAATAAATGAACCACAAAGACAATAAAAAATTAACAGAATATTAGTGAGCTACAGAAGACTGTCAAGCCACCTGACAGACATGCAGGTTTTAGTGGCATGGAGTCACTAAAGAAAAGGAGAAGGATAGAAAAAAAGGAAGAAATAACAGCTAAAACTTTTCTAAAGCAAATGAAATCTGTACACTCACAGAATCCAGGATCTCAATGACCTCCAGTCACAAAAATATTAAGAGAACTTCACCAAGGCTCATCATATTAGAATTCTTTAAAAGAAATGATAGACAACATTAAAAGCAACCAGAAAATACACAGGTTCTATAAAGAGAACAACGTAAGGTCAACAGCAGATTTCATTTTAAAAACAATCTTAGGAAGAAGACAGTGGAAAAATACCTTTAAAGTGCTGAAAGGAAAACAAAACCCAAAAACATAGTGGAATAAAACAAAGTAACAAAGACCCTACAATTCTATAGTAAACAAACATGTTCATCACACCACAGTATAAGAAATGTTCGAGGAAGTCCTCCCTAGAGAAGGAAAGAGGTACCGAGGGAAAACATGAGCATGCAGAGAGGAATGAATAGAAAGAACCAAAAATGGCAACTATTCAAGAACATATATAAGATTTTTTCTTACTATTCCAATATCATCAAAAGGTATTTGTCAAAAATTAATAACAATATATTGTGCATTAATAATACACACTTTACAAAAGTAGTGTTTAACAGTGGGAGTCTGGAGGTGACGAGAGAAGAAATGGAAGTAAAATATTATAAGGTTCTTGTACTACTTGTGAGGTGTATAATATCATTCCACAGTAGATTACAAGTTAAAGGTGTATGCTATTCAACCTAAAGAAATCATAGAAGTTACAAAATATAAAGTAAAATAAAGCTAATGAACTAACTGAAAAATAAAAACTAATCATTAAAAATTCAGTTAACTCAAAGAAGTCAGAAAAAGAATAACAAGGGGAATAAATAGGATCATAAACTCCCACAAATATCCAAATTATAGTTTCAAACCTATCTGTATCAACAATTATATTAAGTGTAAGTGGTTTAATACACTAATTAAAGGCAAAGATTGTCAAAGCTGACATAAAAGCAATAGCCAACTATATGCCATATACAAGAAATGTATTTTAAATATAAAAGCACTAATAGGTTACAAATCAAAGGACAAAGTAGATATCAAACACTAATCAAGATACAACTGGAGGGGCTTTATTAGTACCAGATGAAACAGATTTAGGAAGTCAGGATAATACAGGCACTCAGAAGGCAATTTCACCATGACAAGGGGGTCAGTTCATTAATAGTCCTAAACATCAGTTCACCCGATAACAAAGCTCCAAAGTATGCAAAGCAAAACTGAGGGAACTTCAAGGAGAGGTGGACCAAGACAGCTCAGGGCTGTTCCTTAGGAAGGAGGTTGGAAGGGCTGGTGCTGGATCCACTATATGGATGGGGAAGAAGAGGTGGGAGACAGAAGTCACCTCTGAGGTCACAAGGGTAGAGCAACAGCTCCAGCTCAGTGCTTCCAGTTGCAGGTCCAGTTCTGTTTCCTCCCACTCCATGCTACTAATTATGAGCAACCAAACACTAGCAGGACTGGTTTTCCCCCTTGGTAGCTGTTATACAAAACCTAGCAGCTCAGCTGGCTGCAGAAGATAGCAGCTGTGCCATTCAGTAGGGATTCGGATCTGCACTCCATCTTCTAACTGCTGTGCACACCCATGCTTTCCCGATTAAAAATGCGCGAGAGCTGTTCACTGGCCATTATTTCACTTACAGGTACGGCGTGTTGGGGGTCAAAGGGAAACTCCTGGCCCTGCACAGGTGTGGCATGCGTGCATTTGCACAACTTGCACTCCTAGAAGTCTGGAGGGAATCTGGCTTGTTTCTTGGTAAACCAAGGAGACAATCCTGAGCCTGCACACACTCGTGCTTTGTGAGGGCCCAAGACTATGTTGTTGCCAAATTAATCTCACAAAGAGAAATGACACGCTGATCACGGAACAGTATGAGCACATGGCTTTTAGTTAAAAATCAATATCTACCCTGCCTGTGAGGTGTACTCAGCTCTGTCATCTATAAAATACACATTTTGTTTAATTTTTGCCTGCAACACGAAGCATGGCTAAAACCAACAATAAAAATATGATTTCTTCTGTAACAACATCTGCGTCTCCAATTACATACACAGTTGGCCAGAACCAGAGTAAAACAGAAGCCCGTGCTCGGGGTCCGGGCACAGGGCTCGGGTAGGTTTGGTTCTCCGTGGGGAATTCGGTCCCATGACTCATGACTCATTTCCCACTCTGCTCTATGTCTGGTGAGATGGAGGAGACGGGCTCCTGCCGATTGGGGCTGCCAAATCCTCCACACTGTAGATTCTATTTACAGGAGGGGGGGCAGGGAGAGAGAGAGGAAGGAAAGTCAAGCTGCTTCGTGTCTCCCAGTGTTACTGGGGGAAGCCCTTGAACTGAGGTAGCCGCTGTGCACCCCCAATGCCTGCAATAATCTGGTACCATTTCCCTCATCTCAGCAGAAGGGCAAGCAGAAAGTTGCCAACTGAGCGATTTAAAGAATTGAAGAGCTGACTCATTTCTGTGGCATAAACGTGACTTTTCCCGATACAAAGTCTGGGCAGTGGCCTTGAAGGAAAGAATACTCCCAAAGATGCAAGTGTTCCCTCCCCACAAGGCACGTGGAGTGGCCTATCCAGCGCTTGGTGCTTCTAATGTTTTCTGGTGTCCAGCTCTGGGCTCCATGGGGGACACGGAATTTCTGTGGCACGTTGGGCGTGAGCATTCCTACACCAGGGCAGGGGAGGGCAGGCGCTCCAGGGAAACCACTCACACTTGGAGTCTGCAGGACATCGAGCTTGGGAAGTGCTGTGGTTTCCATCGAGATGACCCCCAAGGCCTCGTGGACTCATAGGCAGGGCTTCTGGAAGGTGATAGATCATGGGGCCATCCTGCCAGCTTGCTGCTAAGAGGCGGGGTCCGGGTGGAAGAGGTGGGTCACTGTTGGGGGGCTCCTACCTTCCGTCCAGACCCTGCCGTGGACTTCCTGCCTTGGAGCCTGCCAACTATGGACTGAATCTTCTAGAAAACACGAGCCAAAGAATCCTGTTGTCCTTCAAGTTGTGGGTATTGGGCCTGATGGCTCAGTCATGAGGGAAGTGAGACAGCAAGTGCGTAGCATCTGAGAAGGCTGAGAGCCAACCACAGTGGCAGAGGGAGGAGTGGGGAACAGGCTGAGGCAGCCCCTGTACCACACCCAGGGCCGGGGTGAAGCTGCTGCCCTGACCCGGGGGGAGATACCTCCGTAGAGCCGTGCGCTGCAGGTTGTGTAATAATTTAAGACAGGATCCTTTGGCTCTGGATGGCGCCCAGTCTGAGCACTGTTCACCCTTTCAGGAGGTAGGACTAAGTAAGGAAAAGTAAACGGGAAAAACTGATTGGAAGCTCACTCAGGGTGGTGAGGCGAGTTTCTCGGATTAAATCCTTTTCCCCCAGTGCTCAGTCAGAAGTGCTTCTTCTGGGAAAGAGGACAGAGGGTACTTCCGTCTGCAACATTTCCCCAGGACTCTGAGTTGTGACCGTGGTGACATATTCACGTCTCAGTGAGTTGCTCTTATCGAATACCAACCAGGTCTCGCAACACGACAACCCAGGAGGAAGGAAGGTGACTTGCTGATTTCTACATGTGCTTTATGAGGGGATGGGCTCTCTTTTCCAAACGCTGGGAGGGCTCAGTGAGAGGGGACTTCTGATACTTCCACGGGGAAGACACATCAGTGACCCTGAGGCATTACAGGAGGTGGAGGGAGTGGAAGAACAAAGCCAAGTGCCACGCTGCCACTGCCACAGGGGAAACTGCGCTGCCCAGGGAGGGAGGCGCCGCCCCTGCCAGCCACTGGAGATGAGTGGACCGAGAACGGCAGTGGAGAAAGTGCGGCCGGAAAAGAGCTTTCTCCAGGTGAAGCATTTCAGGACCTCAATAGCTGCTCTTCTTCCAGGAGACCTGCAAACTCGGGCTCCTTCAGAGTGCAGACGGGCAAGAGGGACTGCACTGTGTTGCGTCTGAAGGGCACCTGGGTCTCCGACGGACGACGGTAAGGGGCTGTGTGAAAGGGGACTCAGGACGGTGGCCTGGATTCAGTCAGGTCACGGGTGCTCTGGGCCGGCACGGCCCTCCAGGGGGTGTGGCTCTCCGTCTGGCTCTGCTCCACGTCTGGTGAGATGGAGCAGAGGATGGCAGCGAACCCACGGCAGGCGTGCCACAGGCAGCGGGCACCGGAGCCCAGTCGCCCAGCAGCCGTGCATTCAGGTTCGACTGCAGGGCTGGCCCTCCGTGAGAAGTGAGTGGCTCTGCTTTAGCTCGGGCCCTGGGTCTCTGAAAGGTTCGCCGTCCCTGGGGCAGGTGGATGTGTGAGATGGATCGGCAGCTCCTCTGTACCCATCATGGACTCCGTTAGTCATCTGAGAAAAAAGCCTGTGCTTTCTCTTTGGAAAGTATTTAACATCTGGAAGCTGGTAGAGCCCCAATGAACCCAACATCTGTGATGACTCAATCATGTGTCAGTTTAAGCGGCTCTCGGTGAAGCTGAGCTTCCTATCTCTTGGTGCATGAGGGGAGCCGTGGCTGGAGAGGCCTGGCACTGCTGGGGGAGGCGTGCCTGGAACTTACACTGAGCCAGCGCGGGTGCCGGGCTCAGGGAT